ATATCATCCTATAGGCTTCCTCGGCAAGCAATGCTAGAAAAAGGCCAGGAGTTGTTAGGTAATGACCTAGAGTATGGGTGTGAAAGACTTAATCAGGAAGCTTGGGAAAATCGATTGCTTTGGATTTCCTGGTTTCGGACCTCAAGAACTGCCCATTTAATAATCATAAACACTGAGTGATCTAACCAACTGTCATAATCAGGGACACTCGTTCACCTATTCAAGTACATGTAGTTCATTCGGATTGTGTATCTTTATCGTGCTACCATTTGCAGCTTTCTCTTGCTTTCATTTGCTCCTTCCGTTGCTGGTCGACCGAATGGAAAGTCAACCGAGTCTGCGCATTAAAGTCCCAGGTTGATGGTTGCCTGAAATAATCTGTCTCATGGATCATACGTTTGGCATTCCAACCTGTTCTTTTTTCATTTTTAGAGGAATTTATAACGCATGAGCGTTATCTTTCGGGTTTTATGGCCCCGGTTGCTGAAGTTATTCGTAGTTGAGTGTATACTCTGTGGTACCCGGTTCGATATTGTTCGTTCAAGTTTTCTGTCTTCGTTGGTCTTCTGTATACCGGGCATTCATTGGAGTCACCACCATTTTAAGTGTGACATACTGTGGTATCGGCTTGATTGTGTCGTCGTTCGGCTGTATACCTGGCACGTGGTGCACTTGGGCCATTGTGTAGTGTATCAACGCAACTTTCGCGGTTGAGGATGTCTTGTCTGCCACTCAAATGATGAGATCAAAATCGAATCATCGGAACACAACATATCGGTCGCTTATCCAACACGATTCTAAATTGATAATACTAGTCAACTGCATCTATATCGCCCCACTGAATGCAGCATTTATCCCTTGAAATTTTTACGTGGAATTCTTTATTCCGAATTCCAGGGGTTGTCGGTTTTCATTAAGGAACAGCAGTAGATCAACGTGACAATCAACCTTATTCCTCCAACTGTACGCGGTTGTAACCAGAATACAGAACAATTACAGTATATTCTGTACATGACTGCACGTGTGAAGCTGATCGCACAAATTGGTATCCACTACTGCAAAGTTATTCCTCGGATTTTTATATTATTCATCTGAATCGAAATTATACTCACGAAGAGTAAGCAGAGTTAGATAGGACGTTATTATTTATTCAGTCCGTATGGTACATAGCTTTTGTAAGAACCGCATGAGGTTATGCTAACAGTATTTCCAGTTCAAAGGGCCTGCAGAGCATATCGACCTGAAGTAGGTAACACGTCAGCATTGTCCGCGTTCAAAATTGGAAAAAGGAGCGTGTAGGTTTATCAATGCTGAAGGGTTTTCGTTGTTGAAATACCTCGCTCTCAGCATTTGATCAGTCAATCAATCAGTCAA